GCCTCCAAGAGGCCTCCCAAGAGGACCCGCATAGGCAAACATCAGATACGTTCCTCAGGGTGTTGAAGGATTTGGGCTTTCTCGCCTTGTCGGCTTCTCGACGCTCCAAGATGGCTCAAGAAGCCCCCAAGGTCGCCCCGAGACTGCCCAAGAGGCCCCCAAGAAAACCCCAAAACGGCCCCAGAGGGCTCCAAGATGGCCCAAGAGGCCTCCAAGACGGCCCAAGAGGCCCCCAAGACGGCTCCAAGAGGGGACCCAGACGGGGGACCCGAACGGACATTTCGAGGACTCGACCCCGAAAGACCCTCAGGGCAACCAGAGGACCCCAAGAGTTCCCAAAGAAGCCCCAAGAGGCCCCATAGAGGCCCCAAGAGGTCCCCAGGAGGCCCAAAGAGCCCCCCTAGATACCCCCAAACTGTTCCCAAAAGGCCTCAAACTGCCCCAAAAAGGCCCCAAAATTGTCCCCAAGAGCCCCGAGAGCGCTCCGAAAAGACACCGAGAAGCATCCCTGAGGGCTCTGGCCCACAATCCAGGCACGGTGGTGGGATGGGCCGAAGGACATTACAAATACAACTCGTCGTCCGCCGCCGCCGCGGTCGCCGCCGCCCTCCATCCTCGATCCTCCCCGCTCCTCTGGCCTGGGCGCCCGAGGTGGAGACGATTCACACGGACAACGGCCGCAGCGGCGCCGACAGCGATCCTCCCCGCTCCACTGGGGGGGCCACGGCGAGGGGGATGACGCTGAGGGGCTGTTGGTCAGCGTGTCGCCGCGGCGGCCCCCGGCGACACCACGGGACCTGCGAGCGGCTGGCGCGTCGCTCCGCGCCGCGGGACGGGCTGCTCGGCAATTGCTGGCGAAGTACACGCTGGGGGGCGGGGAGACGGGCAGCGCGCCACGCCGCCAGCGTGGTGGGCCGGCGCCGGCGGAGCGACGCGCGGACCCAGGAGGCCCCGACCGCGGGAGGAGGCTTCGAGCTTCGAGGTCTGGGGTTCGCCTCGGGCGCTTTCGCCAGCTCTCGGCGGCTTTCCGGCCTCGGGGTGCGCTCCAGCGGCTGCGCCGCGCCGAGCGCTCCCCGGGGGTGCCCGGCTCGTCCCGCACGGCCGCTGGAGGCTCGAGCTAGAATCGGGTCGGGCCTCTCCCCCTCCAGGGGGATTTTGGGCGAAAATCTAACTACTCCAAGCATACCTCCAAATACTCAACAAATGCTCACAAACATACTTGTGAAACAGAAAACGAAAAGATCGTCCCCCTACTATTCTTTCTTATATCAATCTTTGAATTCTCCTCCTGTGGAGGGACAGGCCCGACTCAAGGCTCGAGCTATGCCCAGAGAGCCACTCGCCAGCAGACCGGCGGCAGGCCCCTGGCAGCGGATGCGCACGATCCTGAGCGAGGGCGGGCCCGATCGGCGATCGTTGGGGACATTCGCATAAGGAGCTGCGAGGTCAGGTATAAGATCACGGCAGGCGCGGGCTGCCTTCGACAGAGCCACCTGCCAGAGCGATCGTTGGGGACATTCGCATAAAGAGCTGCGAGGTCAGGTATAAAATCACGGCAGGCGCGGGCTGCATTCGACAGAGCCACCTGCCAGAGGACCTTCGACCGACCCTGGCAGGCTGCACCTCTCCTCGAGACGTGCAGCTGCGGCGGCTCTGGGCTCCGCAACCCGCCGCGCCCTGCCGTGCCTGGGGGCCGACGCGTCCCTCCCCCTGAGCCGGCGGTGGACAAACCTCCCCTTCAGCAAACCTCCCCCTCGTGAAAACGGCCTGGGGCCGAACCCGGCGGACCTGGGCCCGCCAAAAGGACGGCCGCGACGCCCCCTCGCGAACCGAAAACGGCCAGTTCCTTCATCGACGTGTCGGGGTACGGTCGGGGCGTTGACCTAAGGAACCCTAGATAAGAAACGAGGCCCACAAGTGAAACATCGATGTCCCATGGAAAACCTCGGGAAGACATGAGGCAAACTGTGAAGCAATCAAGGAACACGGAGCCCCTCCCTAACGAAAAGGGCTCCTTCTTCAGGGCCCCGACTGTAGGCCTACCACGACATGCTCCCAGAGCACCAAAGGGTTCTAAGGACAAAGACCATGTTCTCGGGACATGAGCCCGACGTGTTGAAACAAGACGGTCCCAGCCAGAGACGCTCTGAGAGCAGTTCGTGCAGGCCAGAAAGGGTTCCTCCTTCAGGGCCCCGACTGCGACCGAGCCTGGGCCCCCACGACCGAGCCTGGGCCCCCACGACGCTGCCCCGCCGCGGCTCTCGGGCCTCCGGCTCTCGGGCCTCCGGCGGCCGTGCCTTCGCGCTCCCAGAGGGCAGCCGCCTCGGGCCCTCGCGCTCCCCCGGCGGGGCGCCGCTGCCGGAGAGAGGGCAGCTCCCGAGGCTGGGCAGGGCCGCCGCGAGGGGCCCAGGGAGCACGCCCCAGAAGCTCCGAAGCCGTTTGCCTCCCCGAGCCTCACGTCGCCCCCGCGCTCGCTCCCTGGCCCCACCTTGGAGAACGACCTCCCCGCCGTCGCCGCGCGGTCCCCCCTGGCCGCGCGCAGAACCCAGACCTCGGGCGTCTCGAAAAAATCGAGACAGGGCCCCGACTGCAGGAGGCCCGTCCACCTCCGACCGAGCCTGGCCCCCCACGACGCTGCCCCGCCGCGGCTCTCGGGCCTCCGGCTCTCGGCCCTCCGGCGGCCGTGCCTTCGCGCTCCCAGAGGGCAGCCGCCTCGGGCCCTCGCGCTGCCCCCGGCGGGGGCGCCGCTGCCGGAGAGAGAGGGCAGCGCCCGAGGGAACCGGGCAGGGCCGCCGCGGGGGGCCCACGAGGAGCGCGCCCCGGAGCTCCGAAGCAGTTTGCCTCCCCGAGCCTCACATCGCCCCCGCTCGCTCCCTGGCCCCACCTCCCAGACACCGGGCGTCTCGAAAAAATCGAGACAGAGGTTTTTCACAGTTTTTGGCCTCTCGGGGCCCTCGCCGGGCCTCGGGGCCGTCAAAAAACAACTCGGGATGAAGAGCCCGTCCCAGGGAAGTGGTTGGGAGGTCGGGGGCCCGGGTCTCGAAAAAATCGAGACGTCGGATGTCTGGGCTTGGAGAACGACCTTCCCGCGTCGCCGCCCGGTCTCCCCTGGCCGCGCGCAGAAAGGGGGGCAGGGGGGAGGGGGGAAGGCTCCTCGGAGGGAGGCTGCTTCTGCGAAGGCGCCGGCCGTACACGTCTGCAGACAGGGCGCCGGCCTCGCATCTGCGGACGAGGCCCGCGCCTTCTGAGAAGCACGGGTGCTTCTGAGAAGCCTAGCCTTGCCCCTCCCCAGAGATCCAACGTCGGATTTTTGTCAATACGGGGTCCCCGGAAGTCTCGACCCATTCCCCAGGACCGGTTTTTCATCCCGAGTCGTGTCTGGACGGTCCCGCGGCCCGGCGAGGGCCCCCAGAGGCCGAAAACCGCGAAAAGCCTGTCCATTCATCGTTGCCCGTGCGTGGGATGTCTAGACCCCCCCTCCAAACCTATACTCCCCTGACTGCGCGTGGCCGCCCACCCCCCCCCTCTCTGCCCTCCTCGCTGGTCACGTCCCGGATCTCCAGGGCGTCGTCGCCCTCCGCGGGTCTGGGCGCGCCCACGGGCTGCACCTTCGGCGCGGGCGCGTCGCCCGGCTGCACGACGACGCTCGCGGGCGCCACCTTCCAGGTGCGGGGGGGCGCCAAGGAGGCAGGAGGCATTGAGCAGGGACCGACCGCCCCAGCACTCCCATACAGTCGGAGCGTTGACCCAAGGAACCCTAGATAAGGAGCGAGGCCCCTTTCATCCACAAGTTGAACTTCGACTTCCCGTCGGAACCCAAAGGAACACCCAAGGCAAACTCTGAAGCAATCAAGGAACACGGAGCCCCTCCCCAACGAAAAGGGTTCCTTCTTCAGGGCCCCGACTGTAGGCCTACAACGACATGCTCCCAGAGCACCAAAGGGTTCTAAGGTCAAAGACCATGTTCTCGGGACATGAGCCCGACGTGTTGAAACAAGACGGTCCCAGCCAGAGACGCTCTGAGAGCAGTTCGTGCAGGCCAAAAAGGGTTCTTAGAACATCGTTTGGCCTAGAGGCACGCCAGGACGCTTCGCCACTGCTGAAAGGAAGGGTGCGTGCGTGGAGGCGTCGCGTGGGGGAGCGTGGAGAATGCGTCGTCCAGTCGCGTGGGTGGCCTGTACGCGAAAAGGGGCGGTGGGGACACGACGCCCCCGAACTGGGAGCTGCGGGGGGCGTGTTGTGCGAGCCGCGGGGGGGGGGGGGTCGCCTGGCCGCGTGCCGAGCTCCCCACCGGCGCGGTCCCCTCGGTCGGCTTGCCACGGTGCAGGGACGGCGCCGAGCCGAGACCTTCCCCCGAGAAGACGCGCCGGCCCTCCCAAATCGCCCGCCCGAGATGGGCAGTGATGGGGTCAACTGGCCACCGCTCGGACGTCCATTCCCTGTGTTTTTGTTCGGCTTCGTGCGTGGCTTTCTCGCCAAAGGATCAAGGCTGCTCCTCGAGAGCCCTCGCCGAGAAGAAATGCACACGCCCGAGCGATGCCAGGTCAACGTCCCCAGAGATCCGATGTCGTGATTTTTTCAATACGGGGTCCCCGGAAGTCCCGACCCATTCCCCAGGACCGGTTTTTCATTCTGAGTCGTTTTTTGACGGGCCCGAGGCCCGGCGAAGGCCACCGAGGGCCGAAAATAGCAAAAAACCTCCGTCTTGATTTTTTCAATACGTGGGATCTCTGGGTCCCCGGTCGCCCTGTGGCGCCAGCTGTGGCAGGGGAGGCTCGGGCGGGTCGGCCGGGCGAGCCGCCTGCACTTCGGGGTCGAGGGCCGCGAGGGGAGCGGGAGGACCGAGGCCGGCAGGGCGCGGGGCTGCGCGCTGGCAGCCTCCCGGGGTGGTCGCTGGCCTCGACAGGGGAGGAGGAGGAGGAGGAGGAGGAGGAGGAGGAGGAGGAGGAGGAGGAGGAGGAGGAGGAGGAGGAGGAGGAGTAGGAGGGAGGAGGAGGAGG